CTGTTAAAGCATCTGATGGTGTAATCTGCACTCAGATTTATGCTTCACACGCATCAAAGGATGTGAGATGACAGAGATGTGAAACCACAGAAAGAAAGAACTCTTCACACGTTCCCACTCGTGTTCTCTGCAGATCAACGGGAATATTTCTGCTGAGATCGTTCTGGTGCTTTAGACACGCGTATCTGTTCGCGTGGAAAACACTTTGCTGTGATGAAGCAATGAGAAGTGACAGGAGTGAGACTGAAACTACGTGACTATCACAGCACGATCGTATCACGTTCTCATGAACCAGCGTCCTCGAGTTCGCTTCAAAGGCTCAAACTCAGGACCTCTGACCCGTTTGCTGCTGGATGCTGAAGGGTCAGGTCCAGTTAGCGGTGCGGGTACAGGATGGAAACTTTATTTTATAACTGAAAACAACTGAACTTTCAAAATAAGAGCCACTCGTCACACGCATCGCGATGGCGTTCTTTGAAACTGTGAAACAACAACAAAGGTCGAACATCAGACACGAGCGCTGACGACTGAAACCTGAAGGAATCAGATGCTAGAATAAATCGTCTTCCTTTGGTGACGTGTTCAGCGTGTGATGCTCTGACTCTGAACTTACCAGAACCGACGGCAGCAGCCTCCGTCTCAGACAGATGAACCCGGTCGAGATCAGCATGAAGATGCAGAACGTGACGATGATCACCAACGAGCACAACATGCCCGAGATCAGCGGGTCTGCACGCAGGAACACAACGAGTTTAGAGGTGAACATCAGTCTCATCAGCCTGAAAACAGCAACATTTAAACGTTCACATCGTGCTACAGTACATGTAGTACTACCTGTAGTAGTACTACATGTACTAGTACTACTACAGGTAGTACTAGCACTGCTGTTTCCAGCCGTGACTTGCTTATCAGTCAGATTCGCTGAGGTTAGCGTTGGAAGTGTGTTTCACGGGGAATTCCCTCCATTTCCAATCACAACAGAAGCTCAGCATGAATGTTGTGGACTAAAAGCTTTTTATTGTCACCTCCATGTGTCCACTTGATTTTTCCAGTGAGTAAAACTAAATAAGCAAACACACAATCGCTGTATCTCACGGTTCAACCTGAGGGGGCTGAAACTTGGCACAGCTTTGAAAAACGTGGAGCTCCACAGAGTCCTGACGTAAAGTTATTAACACGCACGCCCTGAACGACACTGCAGGCTAACAGCAGTGTTTATGATGCTGCTCCTTTAGCGTCACCCATCTTCCACCTGACAGCGAGGTAACTGAAATCACTGTGTGTGTGTGTGTGTGTGTGTGTGTGTGTGTGTGTGTGTGTGTACCTGCAGAGAAGATGGCTGGTACTGTAGCACACTCAGGCGGGCTGAAGTTGGAGTACATGTCCTCGATTTCGTCGCAGAATCGCACGGCGACACAGTACCGCCTGCCGGGCTCCAAACGATCCCACTTATAGCTCTTCAGAGACTCAGTCTTGATGAACTGCACACACAGGCACAGATTATCAGCACAGGAGGCGTCCTGCTCACACAGACTCCGACTGACACAGCAGCAGGTCTCTCACGTGACGCCTGCTCTTAGCCTACAGACTTTTTACATTTAGCAAAATATTTAAACATTTATCATAAATCAGAGTGGACTCATGACTGACTTCAAACCGTTGAAAGCCGTGGGCCACACTTTCTGTCCCAGAGGTTCAGGAGTACGTCACTGCCATAAAGATCCACTCAGAGCTAACAGATGAAAGCAGGAAGTAAACTTGTTTCTAACGCTTTGAGCCAGCGCTCAGGTATCACCACGGTTACTGTGCGAGGTACGCTCTTATGCTCATCGGCAGCTGGTGAGGACGCTCGGCGAGCATCATTTCAGAGACATGTAATAACAGTGGGACAGAATTCCACAGCTGGATCACCATGGAAACATTAATGGAAGCGGCGGACACGGAGAGTAAGCGGAAAAATAACCACAGCGACACGAAGTGGGCGGGTCCAGAGTGGAGTTAGTGTTGTGTGATTTGAAAGGTAACTCGCAGTCCCGTGTCAGGCCTGTAGGCCAGGCTCCTCCCTCCTTATACTTTGCTTGAGTTGACATTTGACCCTCGCCGTCTTTGCCGTTTATTTGCGGAGGTGAAACTCAAACCGGGGGTTCTGATTGGTCTCCCTCTCTCATGTACCTCCATCTTATCCGGGTTGCTGCTGATCCGGAGCTCGTAATGGAGAATGTCGTAGCTCTGCCTGAGGCGCTCCAGCGGAGGGTGAAGATCCACGCTCAGGCTTCTGTCGCTGGGCGCCACGCTAAGCAGCGGCAGGCTCAGGTGTTCTGCAGAAATCAGAAACAACGCATGACGCACACACACGGCTCAGAGGGCTGAAAATAACAAACTCGTGGCGTCTCCGGAGCTGAAGACTCGACACTCACTGATGGGTTTGAATGGGACCTCGGTCTCGTTCGGGTCTCCAAAGACCTGGCCTCCCAGCTGAGCTCCAACCCTTGTTAAGTACGTCTCCGTTAGGATGGAGAACGCCGCCGTCAAGTCACAAAACAGAGGCTTCTGCACACGCTCACAGCCGGCCACCGGGTTCCAGCTATGTTTCCTTTCATGACCACAGAGGAGAGAAACATCAGATCTCAGAGGAAGTGTTCGTGATCACCTGAGCCAATATGTGCCAGAAACATGTCAGAACTCCTCTGAAGACAACGCAGACTATCATCAGGGTACCAACCAGGTGACATCAGCACACCTGCAGCTGTCAGTGTGTGAAGGTAAACCCACCTCTCAGATTTGTATTCAACGTTATAGTAGACCCCTGGAGGTGTGCCTGGTCCCGCCTCCCATTTCAGTATATAACTGAAGTTGAGTGATGTCAGGGAGATGTTGACGGGCTTTGGGAGGGTACCTACAGCTGGAACACAGACAGGAAGAGGAAGGTCAAAGGTCAGCAGGAGACCAGCACCATGAGTTATCTGACCCGCAGCACAAAATGAAACATGTCAGCAGAAAAACAATAAAATTATTATTCTTCACGGACACTCTACATAATTATTAAACAGGCAGCAGCTCTTCTACGCCTGACAGAACTCCAGCTTTGTGCACGCTGTGGGAGGAGCTGAGATCTGTATGTGTGGGAACTGTGGGAGGAAAGAAAGACCCAGCAAACATCTCCCCACCCTCAGTCATTCCAGGGAAAGGAACTTCATGCTTCAGCAGACCATCTCATGGTCCCAACTTTGTGGGAACAGTTTGGGGATGGCTGTTCCAACATGGCTGCACACCGGTGTGCAGAAAGACATGGATGAGCTGTGGAAGAACCTGCCTGCACAGAGTCCTGACCTCAGCCCGACAGAACACCTTTGGGATGAGTTAGCGACTGTGAGCCGGGGCTTCTCGTCCAACATCCGAATGGTCCAAAATTCCCATAAACACTCCTAAACCTCTGGAAAGAAGAGCTGCAAACTGTTGCTAATATAGTGTCCTAAAGACGGCTGCAGCCTCTACGTCTGAAAAGCCTGATTGGACACAAGTCTGTGACAACATGAGCAGCCTACTCTGGGCTCAGCCAACTCCTTCCTGATGATTTCATGGTCTCAGGTCTGACTGAATAACACGCCTTTACAGTGGCAAAGGAACAGGAAGCAGGGGACGGTGAGTGGATGACCACAGCCGGGACACTCAGGTGGTTTCCAGAGGAAACGGCCTGAACTATGACACGGAGAGTCCAGAAATACGCAGAGGCAAGATCTCGTGGTTCTGAGTGCGCGCTCACCTGGCAGGATCAGAGGCAGCCATGAGAGCATCCAGGTGAGAGCGGTCATGACAGCTGGAGCACATCTGCCGAGCTTCCATCAGCACCTCAACGGACAGACAGCAGCTGCTTTCCCTTTCTGAGCAGGGATGAAAGTGCAGTTACAGACCCACGCTTTTACTTTCTGTCTCATGTCTTACAGTTAAACACAGTTAATAAAGTTTTGACATTGAAATAAACCTTTATTGACACCCCGTGGTTCTGTTAGCCTCTGATTTGGCCTCAGACTTCCCTGTAAGTACAGACTGTGAGATAAGTGTAACTTGCTGACCTGTTACGGAGAGATAAAGCCCCCATGAAGCGTCACTGGTCCGCAGATTCAAGTTTTCGTGTTTTTCTCAAACCGCCCACTCGCCGGAAATTCCTCCTCATCTCAGGCTAACGGGCTAACAGGCTAACGGGCTAGCACCCTCTGTGTTGGTAAAAGATCAAAGCTCCAGGCTGGTAGTAACCGATCAATGAGTCCGAGCGTGTTACCTGTCCCGGTGAGCGTCCCGATATGCTTCCGTTAGCGCTGTCACAGGACCGAAACACGCTGCTGCCGCCCCGCTGCCTTCACGGACCTCCGGTAATCGCGAAGTCTCTCCTGCTCATGTGCCGTTCCTTTGATCAAAGCGACATCACACCCAACAATGACACAGCAACAACACTTAGAAACATTTCCCACTCGGTCGGTTTGAGTTTGTTGTTGACCAGTCTGACAAATCATAAAGTGTAAACTTCGTTTGACACACAGCATTAAATACAACGGGACAGACGCCATAAAATATACCGTCACAGTTGATTTAACGGGACATCGTCCCTGAAATCGGGTGTAGCAAATATATATCTATAGATATTTTTTTCTTTACAGTTTATAACGCCGTCTCTTCACGAGATCTCATTAGACCGGCGGTCATGAATGCAGCACCGCTGGAAGTCGGTGATAGGAAATCACGTGATGTTGTTGAAGCACGGACGCTTCCCTGACAGGCTCCCAGTAGTTTTGAGAAGTCATGTGATATAGTTTGTGGTTATTTTCCTTAGATTTGAGGTTTACATTTAGTTTTAAATATCCGTGTACGCGCTTCACGAGCAGGTCATCTTATAACCACAGCAACAAACCACGGTGGAATAAAATAACGATTTTATTTCTTATTTTCAAACCCTTAAGATTATGAAAACCAAAAATGCAGTGAAACCTTTTAACACAAAGAAGTTTAGTAAGTTCTCATTTTATTTATTTGATTGAAAGTGCATATCTTGTAGCCATGTTGTGTACATCAATCCTTGTTCTTGCTTCACTAAAAAACAAAAGGCTGATATATACCTGTGACTTTTCTCTAAATGAACCGTAACTCCAGAGGTCACATAAAAACCACACAAATAACATCAGCAGTCAAATGTGATTGAAAGGTTTGGAGGTTTGTCTCAAAATAAGCCTTTAAACTGATTTTGTACCCTCTGGAAGTTGTGCTAACCCCCATCTTTGCCCTTACAAAGTTCCCATTTACATTCTAATGTAGGAATAAACTGCCTTCATGTTACAACTCTGCTGCAACAAACCACTGCAGACCTTTGCTTAGTCCGATTACATTATTAAATGTCAACAGTCATACTGCTGAAGTAATCTGGAAATCCACTAGCATTATGATTTGGCTAGCAACAATATTAGCATGGGGTAGAGTGGCTGTAGCTCAGGTGTTAGAGCAGTTCATCTGCTAATTGGAAGGTTGGTAGTTTGATCCCAAAATTGTGAGGTACGTAAGTCAAAATTTCAATTTACTAAATCAAAATTTTGAGTTAAGTCAAATTTTTAAACCCACGACACCAATGTAAGGTAGCATGGAAAAATCATTAAGGACTCATTTTTTTTAAATATTAAAAAATAAAATGTAATAATTATCACATTATTCTTTTTCTGCTAATTTCTGTTCACGTATCTTCTGTTCCAGCCATGGATGTTTATATGAAACATTGCTCAATGTATGAACAAGTGAGTCAAAGGCTCTTCTGCAGACAGTTTTTTCTACACCTGAGACTCTATTATATCAGAGGGAGGGTATACCCTTATATGGTCATCTCAGAAGCTCCAGCCAGCTTCTGTTTACAAGGGGCAGCCAATCAGAAAGCAACAGTTTTAAAGTCACTGCAGCAAAAACAGTTTGTCTGAGACAGAGGAGACCCAGCGTGAGATGACCCAAACTTAATTATGAAGTACAGAGAATGGAAACCAGGAGAAAAGCAAACATTAAAATCTATATTTAATGAAGAACATTAGAAAGAGAAATGTCACAGTTTCCTTTGATTTTCTTAAAATGCTTATGTTAATTTTCAAACAACATTAAAAAGTGTCTGGACCCCATTTGGCAGCATCAGTTTTACGTTCACAGTCAAACAAGTCAAAAAGTCGGACACAGAAAATCCGGCTGGTTCATTTGCAGATCTTCTGACCTGCAGCACCAAATAATAAGCTGGTCTACAAACACGAGGAGACCCTGCGAGTCATCGACGCTCAGAGCAGCACACATCAGTATCATCTGTTTCTCAAATAGGGCGAGAACTCCTCCTCTTCCTCTTCAGTTAGCGTGTCCGTGCTGTTGCCTTCACATCTGCTCGCAGTGCGGTCTGTGTGTGTCGGGAATACTTGAGGTGTCAGGTGATCTGATTCAGTTTGTGAGTCTGTGGCAGGTAAACCCTCCAGGCTGGACTCTTTCAAAAAGCCTGTGACGTCCTCCTCATCTCCATCGCGTGCAGCCATTGAGGCGAGGGTGACTGAGAACAGGTTGACATTGCCGGAGATGTCCCGCACCTCCTTGTCCTCTTTGGACTTCGTCACCTCCTCGTCCTGACTTTGTCCCCAGACTCCACTTCGACTCCTCTCTTTCACCAAACAGAGCTGCGCTCCCTCCACCTCCGTCTCCACCTGGCCTTCGTCAGACTCTGCAGGCAGCGCCGTTACTTTCACCTTAGCAAATAACCTTGAGCTTCCAGCGTCCAGTGCTGCCGTTGGCTCGCTGTTCGTTGACATGTTGCCAGACAGCTCCTCACAGCAGCAGCTCTCCCCCGAGGAGAGATCCACTGCTCTGTTCACATAGTTGCCATCATTGTCGTCCTCTGAGCCATCGTCAATGTTGGCAGAAGGTGATGTTGTGTGATTGTTATGCTCCCCGGTCTCCGAGGTAACTGAGATGGGATCTGGGACGGTGGGCTGCGGGGCCAGGACGTAGCCTTTGGTTAGAGCCGTCTACAAAGAGAAGAGAAAGAAGCTCTGAGAAGGAGGAACAGAGGCAAACTCTGCTGAAGATGTCTATCATCGAGTCACAGCTGTGTCTAAGTATGCAGGACAAACACATCAGCCAAAGCTGTTTTCTGGGGACAGTCACTGTGATCTGTTAGCTGTTTGACAACTACTCTTTCAAGGATCTAGAGATGGTCTAGAGATGCTTTTTGAGTAAAGGTTTAACTACAGCCAGCTTGAAGGCCTGTGGTACACAGCTGATTATTAGAGATAGGTTGATCATATTTAAGACTGAAGCAAGATATACACAGAGCAGCAGGGCAAAACAGAAGTCGTTTTCAGCTCAGCTGACTCATTTGCTTAACCTTTGAAGGACTTTGGTCCTTCTGTGGAAATGCAAATCACAATATGCTGGAGGAGCTTTACGACTGTGGAGCTTCAAAGCGTTTGAACTTTGTCCTCTGAGAGACGCTCATGGATGAAATGAAGGCGATGTTCAACTTCACAGCAGAAATAAACACATCATTATAAAATCTCTCAAACCACAGGTGTTAGAGTGCACATGAAACTGGATTTCTTACAATTAGAGCTCTGGGCACAGTTTCCTTCAGTTTACAAATGACTCCCGTGTAGAAGAGGAGGAGCAGGCAGCTCGTGACGATGAAGATGGCAACCATCGGGACGCCGATGACCAAACCTAAAGTGAGGCCTGCAGACACACAGACACACATTATTCCATGCAGACGACCGTCTGAACCAGCCGAAGTACAGCGGAGGGGTGTGGTTTGTGGCTGTGCTGTGGGAGGGATGGGTGGAGCAGGTGGCTGGGGAGGAGTCCCACTGGCGAGAGGGCAGCCCTGGCATGTGTTAGTAATTACTCCCTCTGCATATTTACACAGATAAGGAGGCAGATGAATTGTGGCAGCTCATTATGCTCTGATTCAGCAACAACGCCCGCCTTACCGGCTGCACATCAGCTCACCTCTCTGCTGGTCCACCGCCGTGGTGAAGGTGCACTTCCAGGCAGACGGCTCATGGTTGTTTAGTTCTCTGGTGTTGAGCTTCACCTCTATGCAGTACTCCGCCCCTTTCTTTAAGTTTTCAAGGATAAAACTTTTATTTTCTGTTTCCAGCGTCTGCAAGTCAAAGAAGGAGGAAACGTGTGATTAAAATCACATCTGGGATTTGTCCACGACCCACTGGTGTGATCCTCAGCATCGTTTTCTCCTCTGACCTCTACGCGGCCATGAAGACACCTTTGGAGGCCTGACCAGGTGTGCAACACCTGCTCTGACAGGTGACTCTCAAAGTCAAAGTCTCCTCATGTCAATCAACCCGACACCTGCTTTTAGGCAGAAGCCTGCTGTGATTGGCTGCATTTCCATTTTTATATCGTATATGTACTGTATGCGTTTTACAGCCGCGCCTGGACACCAGTCAGCGACCGCTGGCTCAGGGACAGGATGGCGAGAGGTTGCTGACCGGCCTGTAGGCCCATGTGACTGAAGCCTCAAACAGGTTTAAAGGAACTCTAGAATGAAGACTTTCACCAGCTGAGGTCTAAATCTATCCTATCGGGCAGTGGCTGAAGCAAAAACTCGGGTGTGGGAGGAGTTCGGAGAGGCCATGGAAAAAGCCTTTCGGACTGCCTCGAAGACATTCTGGCAAACCGTCAGGTATCAGGCGTCTCTACCTGCACTGTGTATAGTGCTGGCGGAGCGCTGCTGACGTCGACTGAGAAAATTGTCAGGCGGTGGAAGGAATACTTCGAAGACCTCCTTAATCCCACTGACACGTCTTCCAAGGAGGAAGCAGAGTCTGGGGATGAGGGGAATGACCCGCCAATTTCCGGAGGCGAGGTCACTGAGGCAGTTAAACAACTCCTTGGTGGCAGAGCCCCTGGTGTTGAGGATCAGCACCTCCAAATCTGAGGCCATGGTTCTCAGCCGGAAAAGGGTGGAGTGCCCACTCTGGGTCGGGGATGAGTTCCTGCCCCAAGTGGAGGAGTTCAAGTATCTCGGGGTCTTGTTCGCAAGTGATGGGAGAAGGGAGCCGGAGATCGACAGACGGCGGCTGCAGTGATGCGGACGCTGCACCGGTCCGTCGTGGTGAAGAGGGAGCTGAGTGTAAAAGCGAAGCTCTCAATTTACCGGTCGATCTACGTCCCTACCCTCACCTATGGCCACGAGCTGTGGGTAGTGACCGAAAGAACGAGATCGCGGATACAAGCGGCAGAAATGAGCTTCCTCCGAAGGGTGGCTGGCCTCTCCCTTAGAGATAGGGTGAGAAGTTCGGCCATCTGGGAGGAGCTCAGAGTAGAGCCGCTGCTGCTCCACATCGAAAGGAGCCAGTTGAGGTGGTTCGGGCATCTGACAAGGATGCCTCCTGGGCGCCTGCCGGGGTTGGTGTTCTGGGCATGTCCTACCAGGAGGAGGCCCCGGGGCAGACCCAGGACACGCTGGAGAGATTATATCTCTCGGCTGGCCTGGGAACGCCTTGGTGTTCCCCCGGATAAGCTGGAGGAGGTGGCTGGGGAGAGGGAGGTCTGGGCTTCTCTGCTTAGGCTGCTGCCCCCGCGACCCGGCCCCGGACAAAGCGGATGAAGATGGATGGATGGATGGAGGTCTAAATCTGCACGTTGATGTTGAGATGAAATGGATGTCTTACCCCAATTTCTCCATCGGTTCCGATCCGAAATGAGACTCTGAAACTGGCTCCGTAATATTGCTGGATACTGGGAAAGTTTGGCAGGTCATCGGGCCAAGGCAGTGAAATGTTGATCTGGATGTAGTTTTCATATCCGACCAGTGAGACCTCTGGAGGACCTAATTTAGCTTGTAAACAGAAGAAAACACGCGGTCACCTTTTGGTAAAGATTCAACCAGTCCAGAGATTTTAGTTCAATCAAAGCCTGATCTGGATTATGGGACACACTTAAATCCAAATGCACCAGTGTGACACCCAGAAGACGCTCATGCTGACGTACTTTCTTTGTAAGGGACAAAATCTATTTTTCCGGACTCTGGAGACCAGGTTTGGTTGAAGAACGATTTGACGTGCAGGTAATACTGGGACTCCCACTCTGGTAGCATCAGTGGCATCGATGTTCCAGATGTTAGGTTGCATTGGGGCTGCGTTGGTATGTTGCATTGCTGTTCCCACTCATTCCATTCCTCACTGAACAATGACAAACAGAACATTTTAGATCAGAAGGACAAAAACAGTAAAAGAAACATTTGCTTTGTGTTACGACTGTTTGCTCAAACAGCGACGATGAGCTGTTCATGTCTCGAATCCAGCTGGTCCTAGATTCAAACGAAAGCTGATTTCTGATTGGACGTTTACTGTCAGGTTACCATTCATGAATAAGAGAGGAGTTTAGATGTTAATTAAAAAGCTCAGAAGTCTGCTGCTTTGCTCAGACGCAGCTTTTCAAACCTAAGCCGTGCTGTCGAGGCTGTGACCTTTAACCTGCTGAGGCCTGTAGACGTGTTTCCAGATAAAAGATGATGCATTCAGGGTGCTTAAGACGGGAATATGACACAACGCCAATATTTCAGAGCTAAAACAGGACAAGTGAACGCACCATGTGTCACAGGTTTTATCCCCTCTGACAGCTCGTTCAGATCCTGATGGAAACCCATCTGAGGCCTGAAGCTGGCTCACCTGAGGCCAGCACACCGGCTCTGAAGACTCAGTGAAACCTGAAAATCATTTCTAAGACATGCAGGAAGGCAGCTGCGTTTTAGCTGTAAGACAATTAGGGCTGCCACAAACGATTATTTTGATCGTCGACTAGTCACCGATTATTTTTGCGATTAGTCGACTAATCAGATCATCATCCATTGGAGTAAAACGAACAGCTTATTGCACCAGCAGCATCTGCTCTTATATAACTATCATTAGCTTACAGCTTTAAGTGTTTAAGGTCTGTGCTAACTAAAAATAAAGACAAGATGATAGTTTATTAAATTTAATGACATTTGCAGATTGTTTCGGTGAAGTTTAATAAACTCCTTGCTATCTAAAATATAACAGGACACCGGAGTAAACTCTGGAGCATCTCACACTTCTGATAATCAGCTGTCTGCTTGTGGTTTATTCAGCTGTGTAAAAACGATAACTTTAATCTCAGCCAAACCGATTTACTCAGGAACAAATAAAAGACCAAAAAACGGCAGCTGGCATCCTTGTACATGCAGTGCTGCCATCTTCTGTTTCAGTCCGTTATTACACTCTTAAATCCTGCTACTTATTCCTGCGTCTGTTGGGATCTTACAAAGCTTCAAACGCCGCGTCGACAATTTCGATAGTCGACGTAATCGTGACTAGTCGACTAATCGTGGCAGCCCTAAAGACAATAAAGACTCGTTGGACCCACAGGCTGTGGTTTGGTGACGAGGACGCTGTATGAGGAAGAACACAGTTTCTGAACTAGCTGAAAAACACGAAGCCACGAGCAGTTTCAGTGTATTCATGTTAAACCTTGCAAACGTAAAGCGAACCCTCACGATGAGTGCTGAAACTGAAACGGCGTCAGAGCCATCCCAGCTGCTCGCTGTGAACAAACCGCCCAGGAGAGAGAAAGCACCCCGCCCAGGCAGATATTCCACCAAAGAAGAAGAAGGAGCCAGTGAAGCTGACTGAAAACGTGAGCAGATTAAAGGTCGCGGTTCACCAGCAGGAGATCATCACCACAACAACGCGGCCCAAACAAAGTCAAACAGTGTAGAAAAACGTGAAAAATGATGGAAATGCAACAGATTTGGTGATCGGTACAAATGTTAGAAGATTCATTCAAATATGAAGGACATGTACAAACGTGGGGCAGTCTCCATGGTTACATATCAGCTGATGGTTTCCTACAAACATGTTCACAGAGATATCAGCTGTGAGAACTCCCACTGTCAGTGTGTGAGTCGTCCCTGCACACACACTAATATCTGTTATTGATAATATTAGAATATTAAAGGCGAGCTCTGTGTCGGACACGTCGCCCCTCGGAGTACTCAGTACCCTTAAAGTAGCTCTCAGGGCAAAGAGGTTGGTGACCCTGGTCTGAAGAGGTCCCCACAAACCTCAGCCCGCCGCTCTGCTTTCACTTCCTGTTTCATCTCCACACACTCCAAAATAACCACGATCTGTGTGCTAGAACATCTTTGTGTGTGTGTGCGCGTAAATGGAAAACAGCTGTAAGCTGTGTTCAAGCTCTCGAGCCTGTGTGCGTCTGTTATCAGGGGTTTCCTCCATGCCTGAGAGGAGCGCTCCCTGAAGCCTGGACCAGCTGATCTCTGTGCAGCAGTTGCTCAGAGACGGCGGCTCATCGTCCCACAGAGCACGCCGTGCACGCCATCACAGGCAGCAGGGAGGGCTGCTTCATGTTTACCACACATCATAAACCTGCATGGAGGTCACGCCCCCACTCACACACCTGATCCTCCATCGTCTCACGATCACAGCACACTTTGTCTTTTTATTTACGCGTACGAACGAGCTGCTTATGTTTCCCATGTCACGACGAGTTTGGCTCGAATGTTTCTGATGTCGTCACACGTGGACACGACACCGGGTCTAAAGACCAGAACGTCTGTCTCCATGAAATCTGTTCTTCTGGATAAACTGCAAAGATGAAGCTGTTTCCTCTGATTTTATAAAATATGAACAAAAAAACTTGTAACTAACTAACTTTGTATAGCTGCATAATTACAATATAATTAAAAATGAAATTATTCTGTTGTTTCATTTCTTTCTTTGATCTGAAGAAAAGTGCAGACAAACTTGTGTGAGTTACAAAATAAAACAGGAAATCTATTTTTGAATCGTTCTTTTGGTAAAAAAGAAGAAGCAACAGTGGAATTTCCCAGCAGGCTACGGGGGACTTTTACCCTCCTTTAGAAAAAATATCGTGTTCTGAACTTCGACAGGAAGCATCTGACAAAAACACGCAGCTGATGCAACACTTTTATTTACAGGTGTTTAATCCTGTCCTTTATCTCAGGTGTGTGTGTGTGTGTGTGTGTGTGTGTGTGTGTGTGTGTGTGTGTGTGTGTGTGTGTGTGTTAATAAAAGCCTGGAGTCACAGCTGAGCTTGAACTTGATCCTTCAAGCGTCTGAACTTTGCGTTTCTACATCACCCACAGAGCTCAGAGGTTTTTTGGGGTTTGATGTGAGCACCATCGTCTTCATGTTACCAGGCTGAGAGTGACAGGACGTGAGGACAGACGGCGGACAAATTACCTCACAAAGACCCCGTACTCTGTCCCAGGGGGCGTGTTGTCGCCGGGCTTCCACCGAAGGACGTGGCGGAAGTTCAGAGAGTCGACAGAAAGGTTAACAGGTGCGGGAGGCGGATGAGCGAGCTCTGCGAGAGGAAGAAAAGAGAAAATATGTGAGGCAATCTGCTGAGTCACGAGGATCCAAAGTATACCTGTTGTAAAGGCTCACCTTTTAGCACATTCACTTCACCAGATGCACCTTGTTTCTTTTCCTCACCTTTGATTGGGTGTGGTGCTTGGCCTTAATTGCACTCACCTGTCACTCGGCATATAAGGACTGCACTCACCTACCCCTCACTCTTTCTTCACTCCCACATGGGGCAGCAGCTGAGAGAGAGCAGTCCATGTGTGTCTTTCTTTCCTTTACCCGTTATACAATAAAACGACAAAACCTATAAATGATTGATGACTGCTTATTCTCACTCTAATCGGATGAGCCCATGATTACTTAAACCCTGAACCTTCCTTCCTCCAAAACAATACCTGACAGGTATCAGCCTGTGTGTGGGTGGGGCAGGACGGTATTTGAACTAGGGCTGCCACAAACGATTGTTTTGATAGTCGACTAGTCACCGATTATTTTTGCGATTAGTCGACTAATCGGATCATCATCCATTGGACGTAAAACTACAGCTTATTGCACCAGCAGCATCTGCTCTTATATAACTATCATTAGCTTACAGCTTTAAGTGTTTGAGGTCTGTGCTAACTAAAAAGAAAGACAAGATGATAGTTTGTTAAACTTTAATGAAATCTGCAGATTGTTTCGGTGAAGTTTAATAAACTCCTTATTTATTATCCCATTGAGATTATAAACCTCTTTTTCAAGGGAGACCTGGCCAAGATAGGCAGCAGCAGATGTCTCACAGTTACAGAAATTACTCAAACACAGGCAGCAACAACACACATGCAACAATAAGTGAAAGAATACAAATAAAATAAAAATAAAATTCAATAAAATTCAAATAAAAAAATCAGTTAAAATGACAATCAATCTAATTGAAACAGTTACATGTTATGGACCTGGCCTCAAGGATTCGTAGTTTATAACAGGACACCGGAGTATATTCTGGAGCATCTCACACTTCTGATAATTAGCTGTCTGCTTGACGTTTATTCAGCTGTGTAAAAACTTTAATCTCAGCCAAACCGATTTACTCAGGAACAAAAAAAATACCAAAAAAAGCCAAACAATAACATTTTAAGTTATCTAAGTGACTCATATATCATGTTTAACCTGAGTAGCGAAAGACGGTGGTGGGTTTGAAAACGATTTGCGGGGAGTCCGGTATTCTCACGGCTCTAGTTAGCCTAGCCCCCGGCTAACTATCGAGCTAGTGGGTAACAGACGTCTCCGAAAACGTCGGAGCGCTTTTGAAAATATGCGGTGTCTTGATAAACTGAGCCGATATTTGAGGTTTACACAGCTACATTCTCGCCTGAAAATATGTTAAACGTTTATTTTGTGACCCAGAAAGAATAATAAGAGTAATATTAAAACTAACTAGCTGCCGCCATTGTTGGAAACTGAGCTGGGCTGCGCTATGAATTCTGGGACACAGCTGCTTCTTCTTTTTCGGGGTTTAACGGCAGCTGGCATCCTTGTACATGCTGTGCTGCCATCTTCTGTTTCAGTCCGTTATTACACTCTTAAATCCTGCTACTTATTCCTGCGTCTTTTGGGATCTTACAAAGCTTCAAACGACGCGTCGACTATTAAATCAGTCGTCGACGATTTTGATAGTCGACGTAATCGTGACTAGTCGACTAATCGTGGCAGCCCTAATTTGAACACCTGACTGCTTTTACATGACTCACCTGAGTGCAGCAGCAAGCTGAGGCAGAGCAGCAGAGGCAGACAGGCCATCGTCACAGGTGGGCAGGATTCATCGTCACGTCTGCAAACGCGCTGAGAGCCAGGAAGCACCACGCGGTCCAGCTGCAGCGAAACATCATCTACATTTACATCTCATCGACGAGACGATTGTAATGTTTCGGATTGTTTCAGTTCGAGAAAAGATTTTCAGTCAATTAAACATAAACTCAGTTAGTTGCCCAACTGCAGCCGCTTCATCCTGAAGACAGAAAACCCCCACCATCAGACAGCGGTGACAAAAACCCCTTTTCACAGGAAGAGAGCAGGGAAACAGGATGAAACACTAAAAAGACAACATTTAGTGACGCACTGCAAACGGCGAGAGAGGGGAGAGGACGCTCAGAGAGAGACAGACTCTCAGACTTGTGGGCAACATCGTCAACATGTTGCATCAAGCATGAATGATGACATCACAGCAAGTCTGGCACCTTCTCTCCTCTTCCTCCTCTTCCTCCTCTGCCGCTGAGCCCAGCCCTGCTGCCTCAGCACTCTCACATCCTCCCACGTGCATCACTTCTACCACATTATTAGAAACCAGAGTTAAAGCTTGAAGGTGAACTTTTTACTCACTGTTCACGAGACGGCAGCTGCAGAAAAAACTGACGTTCTTTTACAAAAACAGGAGCCGTGCAGACTGACTGGAAACACGCTCAGGACCCCGAGTCTGGTCCAGAGGCTGGGAGCCTCAGCACCGCTGTGAAAGTCTCCCAGTTCCTGTTTTCAGTGAAAACATCACGATGAGGACGGTTCATGAGCGTGAAACACCAGGACATCAAAGGTTTACTGTATGGTGTTTGAAAAACCACACGTGAAAAACACACAACACAGTCAACAACAATAACAGTGACAATAGCGATAAACCATCACTTCTGGTGCCCGGTGGGCCGCTGGTGATTTTTTGTTTTTATGGGCCGATGGATTTTATTATTATTTTTTTTAGGAAGGGTATAAAAGGTATGAAAGGTGTTGGATTGGCCAATTGGTCATGATCGACTCTGGGCTGGACCAATTACAGCCGAGGAGGCCGGATGCACCCTCCCCTTGTTTAGCAATCACGTGATTTTCGCGCATTGCATGCTGGGAACTCGTGGCAAAACAATCCAAGTACCGCATCAAATGCAAGCATTTGCAGCACCGCAAAACGTTCATTCTCCGGTTCCAATGCCTTCTTGTTTTTTCTTTGACGCACAAAAAAAGGAATGTACAAAACAAAAGGAGAACAATGCCGGTCCGTACAAAGACAGACTCGACGAAAAGACAAAGAAAAGATACAAGAAAAAAATCAAAGGAGTGAAAGGTTAGACCAAGCCTATTCAAATGGCGGCCCGCGGGCCAAATGCGGCCCAGAAGCAACCTGCGAGTGGCCCTGCCTGTGGTCCTGGCAGAAACACAGAGAAAACGCAAAAAATGAATTTGTTAATTAATTTTAAAAAAAATTAAAAATTCCTACAGCGTAGTGTAGACTGTGAATGCAACACTCCTAGTAGCCTAGCAATATTTAACCCACAATGCACCGTGATGTAAACATATTAAACAATCATCGTAATATATGATGCGACAACAGCATGTCTCTCTCACTCCAAAAGCGCAAAATTGACAATGAAAACTGTCGGTTTAACCCTGCCCGGACTGACAAATACTTATTCATTTTACCGAGTTTAATAATCTTACAACCGGAGTTGTACTACCATGGTGAGGGTCCTGTACAGCCCAAGAGAGCTGCAGCATCTTCCCTTCGTGTTTGCTTCTTGGCGAAGAAGAAAAGGCCTTTCACAGATTCTGAAACAATGAAATACTGCATGCTGGCCGTGGTGGATACGGTGAAAAGTGAGTGTGACATCTGCTATTAAAAACGTACCCCTGTAGGACAGTTCAAATATTCGTAGAATTGAAGTTCTGGCGTCAGACAAGTTTGAAATGCTGTTAGATGACCTGAAGAAAACTGATGTAATGTCTATAGCAGGAGATCACAGACAGAACTGATAATGCGTATATGTCCTTTTTTGGATGGGAAATTGCTCGGCTTACTACCGTTAGAGGGACAAACAGCTGGCGAAATGATGTTTGAGAAGATTTAAGCTCTTTTTGAGGAAAATGGTCTGGATATGAAGCGTGTCTGTATACTTGTGATCGATGGGGCTCCATCCATGGCAGGAAAAGTGAGTGGTCAGCGAAATATTTATTTTAATTTGAAAGGGAATTATCAAAATGTTTTTGTTATTATTATTATTATTATTTCAAATGTGCAAAAAATAGTTTAGTTATAGCTCCCTTTTTTTTAAATGGACCTTTTGGTGTGCATTTGTGAGAGGTCACCACCAGATTTATAGGGGAAAAGGAATAAAAAAAATACTTGTTTTTCAGTACAGTTGTTTGGGTTTGAAATTGATCATGATCTGCTGCTTACTGGCTTCAAAAAAAATATCTGGCCCAGATAAATTCCTCGGTTTGAAAATCTGGCCCAACTAACTTCGTAGTTGAATAGGCATGGGTTAGACCCTCACGAGCACACAGAGTGGACAAAAGACGTCAGCGTGCTGCCCAACTTTCACCACGCTCAGATTTATAATCATACGGTTCTTGGAGTGAGTGCACACACTCATGAAGTTTAGTAACTTCAGGTCACTGCAACAAGCCCAGGTACAGTTTACCGACGGATGGGTGCAGGACCTTGAAACGCACCGTGTAGAACACAAGACCATCGTACGAACAAAGGTAAGTTTACCAGTCTCACAAATCGTCTTCATAAATACACGTTCCTTAACCGTTTATTAATAGGACCTTTGAGCTCAACGGTAATTAATTAGTAGTGGAAATAATTTCTGGTAGCATCACAGAAATGTAGCAGTGACAATAATACTGTATGCTGTAATCGTACTGGACAATTGGTGATACAAAAAACCTGTTTTATCCTGTGAATAAAAGTATATGTTTTTGTCAATGTACCATAATAACAGAAGCGAAACACAATATTGTGTCAGGACAATTCACTATTTATGCACAATAAATAAAGGAGCATAGCGCGACAATTTCTGTTCAGCGCCAGACTTGCTTGTAACCTATATCACCAATTATGTTATGAAAAATGACGTATTAACTACTACAAAACTCTGACCTTTGTGGGAATGCTTGGAGCAGACTAACCTGTGAGCTGGAGTGTTCTGAGACGTTATATTTGGTATATCCAGACCATCAGTCGGCTCTTACTTCGGAAACATGGCTTAAAAAAATTTCTCTTCAACGACGTAATCCGATAAAAAAAACGATCTCTTTACCCGTCGGCTTCCCGTGGCTGTCATGCGACCGGCTATTGCAGTTAATAATACAACAGCTTCTTGCCATTTTTTGGGTTTCTTATTATCCTGTGTGACTGAGTTCAATTGAAAGCCTGCGTGCGCTAGTACCTCTTGCCACAAGTTCCCAGAATCCTTTGCGGTTTTACCCCTGAGTGACGTCACATTTTCAATCTTTATCCTGGTGGGCCGGTCTCTAGTCAAAATGCCCGGGCCGATTTTTTTGTCCCAGTCCAGCCTTGCTGGTGATCCTTGTCAGGGTCACAGGGGGCTGGAGCCTCCCAGTTACCCTGCACGCTGGACTGGTCGCCAGTCTGAGACAGACCAGACTGGACACAGACACGGGGAGAACACGCAAAGTCCACGCAGAAAGACCCGACAACAGCGCTAATCACCGCGCCACCGTGCTGCTAAACAACAACAATAATAATAATAACTGGACAGTCTCATGCACTTAAGTCAATTCAATTTTATTTATATAGCGCCAAATCACAACAAAAGTCGCCTCAAGGCGCTGTTGTTGTGATTTGGCGCATTACAGTAGTTTTAGTCAGCGTGGTGTTTGTCAGAGTGACAGATCGTGATATAATAATCTGAGCCCACGGTGAAACCTGTCCACTCTCCCACGTTTAAAACAATAAAAGGCAAAACCAGATTAGTTTAATGAGCGCTTTGTTCAGAGGAACACAACACACAGTCTCAGTGACCACGGACACCCTGATTGACTTTCTGATCAGTCACTTATCCCTATTATCATTGTTATCATGATGATCATTGTTATTGTTATCACTTCACGCGGCTGGTCGGTGTCCGCTCCACAGTCTGGCCCCTGCTCGCGTGTACTAGTCGGTAGTTAAACACCATAAACCGGCCCCGGAGTGCCCGCCGGTCACTGCTCCCTGCGGAACCGACACAGCCACACACAGACAGCGGTGTCGTGGACATGCTCGGCCGGCCTCGGTGGCCCTCTGCCCGGTCACTCACCTCCTGTCTGCCCGGAGCGGAGCTTCCACAGCCTCGGAGAAAGACGAGCAGCTCCCAGAAACTCTCCTTACACTGTGACGCAGACGGGCTCCTCTCAGCTCTCCACATCAAACCTACCACCGCTTCCTGCCACGCCCTTCAAAGTAAAAGCCTCCCGCACCAACACAGTTCTACACTGGTCTCCGTGGACTTTTTTTTCCTTAAGCTGGATCTAGTTTTCTGTATCTTAATAATATGTTATTAAATTATTGTAATGTGATCGGGATGAACTGTGGACCTCTCACAGTAGGAACTGAGTGGTTAACATCACGCGTGGGCGTGTCAGAGTGCCAGGGTAGAATTTTTCCCTTGCGTCGGGAGCGCGCACTGATGAGTGTTTGTGGGTTACAGGAGAAAATGATGCATTAAAAGTTCTCACGCGGCGCATCATTTCCACACTGTGGCTCATATTTATTTGTATCCTGTAACTTTACTGTTTAAAGAGCCAACGCCGCTAATATTTCAGCAGTAATACGTCTTTATAAGAAGTGTTTGTGAACTAAATCTAAAAACGACAGATAGTGTTCATCCGTGATTCGGACAGCCCTGTGCGCGCTCCCGACGCAGGGGAAACAAATCGTCTGGGGATACCAACCCTGGCACCACACCGGCGATCCAGCTGGATGGAAAGGCTGTTATGTTCGGGGGTGAGGAGGGGAGGATGGGTGCCGTGTTTAGGTAGGGACTCCAGACCCCGCCGGATCAGCTGCTGTCTCTGGGATCCCGTCGCGCATGCATATAGTTTAATAGTTTAATAGTTTAATTATTTATATAGCACATTTAATTACAACAGGAGCGTTTACCAAAGTGCTGTACAAGAATACAACATACATAATAAAACAACTTAGAGTATTAAAAGCAAACACCAAATATGAATTAACAAACAACTCTCATGCTGTATTAAAAGCCAGTAAATAAAAATGCGTTTTAAGATAAGATTTAAAAAGATTGACAGTATGAGCCTGTCTGATGTGTAGGGGTAAATTACTCCTCAGCTTAGGCGCTACGACTGCAAATGCTCGATCACCTCTGTGAACCAGCCTCGACCTTGGTACAGCTAAAAGCAAAAGATCACTTGATCTAAGAGATCTAAGGGGGGTATAAGTCTGCAAGAGGTCAGACAAATACCCGGGAGCCTGTCCATTCAGGGCTTTGTAACAACAATAAAATTTTAAAATTAATTCTGAAGCGGACAGGGAGCCAATGAAGGGAGGCAAGTACCGGGGAAATGTGTTCACATCTTTTAGTACGTGTCAGAAGACGAGCTGCAGCATTCTGGACCAACTGCAGCCTTGAACAAGCATCCTATAAAGGATGCTTGTTCAGGGGAAAGGTTGGGGGTGTGGGGGTGTGTGGGGGTCTATAAGTTCGGTATTTTAATGTCGGGGAAGCTGGGAGGAGGTGGCTGGGAGGTGTAGTCGCAGTTGGGGTTGTCAGTGTGTAGTGTCGTTAATTTGCAGTGGGTGGATCCTGTGCTGTGGTTTATACTGGCGTGGACAGATGCGGCCTCGCTCGGGTAAAAAAAAAATCGTAGATCTTTTACTGAAGTTCACGAACTTTTCCGGTAAAACAGAAGATTCCGTAGAATTTCTCTACTATTTACGGACATTCCTTCAACTCTAAAACGGAAAATTCCGTTTCTTCACAATAAAATTTGTATGAATAGAAAAACTGAAAGTCGTGTTTATCATTTACAGACACTGGTTTTCACTGTAACTCATTAAATTAATTTCTTTATATCTTTACACTTCGATACAGTTACAACCTTTTACACCATCTGCTCAAAAATTCGTAAATTAAAACTTCATGAACAAAATAACTGACAGACATCAAAATGTGAAGATTTGTATTTCCCTTGAAGTCACTTTGTCCTCATGTAAACGCGTTCATGCACATTCACGTGTTTTCTTCCTACAGGACACCTGACCAACAAACATGTAATAGTATTTGTACAGTAACAGTATCCAGAGTACTTTAGGTTCGAATCACTGCTGCGGTTGTTTGGCTCAGCCAAACACACGTGGTTCACATCCATGTGTGTCCACTCATGAGAAGGACACACATGTAGTCCTGCATTCACTTCATCAATGAATCCGAGTGAACGTTTGTCCTGCATTAACTCTGTGGGGTCTTCACCTTACAGTAACACGTGTGTTTGTTCACTGATGCTATATGAATAAAAGGGAACTACAGGTGTTCCTGAAACGTGTCTTTGTTAGAACAGGGCGGATGGATGAGCACAGCCCTCTCAGCGCAGGGCTGACACCACTTTGCCCTTATAAGAAATACAACACAAATTTATTAGGACAGGTTACTAAACCAGGCTTACAGGTAAAAGGACATTTACTGAGCGGATCGTGTCAGCTGTTGCTTCCTTTCACCCGCTGTGTGAAAACAAAGCCCTGGGCTCCCTCTGCTGGTTCGTTAGTTGAGGACAGGCAGCAGAAAGCGCAGGAGGACCCAGTGCTCTTACGTTGCAGTTCTTCCGCTTCCTGTCTCGCTGCTATTGCGCTTCCCAAACGTCACTCGGTGGTTTCCAGGCTGTTGTTCGGGGGGCCGCCGCTGGAGGGCGCTGTGGGAGTTTATTAGTTAGGAGTTTTTTTTAAACGCTTTTATTTCTGTGAACTTTGAAAAGCTGCAGAGCTGTGAGGAAATGTCTCAGCGACTCGCTTTAATAAAGTTTTTAGCAGAGGTGTGGACTCGAGTCACATGACTTGGAATCGAGTCAGACTTGAGTCATTAATTTTATGACTTTAGACTTGACTTGGACTTTTACACCAATGACCTGGGACTTGAATCGGACTTGAACCGGTTTACTTGAAAAGACTTGATATTTCACCCCAAATATAAAATTTAACATGCATATTATATAGAAAGTGTGCACCATTAATTCAATTCATTGATTCATTTATTCAAACCACACTCCGTATGTATGTGTGCGTGAGCTGTAGCACAGCCGATCAAATTAACCAGATTTAAAAAAAATAAAATAAAAAACCGCTCAAAAATGCTGCAAGGAGTTATTTTTTTCAGGTACATAAACTATGAAGTAGTCAACAAAAAACTGAAATGCAATATGCAAAACATGCAAGAAGAGAATCACAGACAGAGATGGAACAACTTCCAACTTTCTCCGACAGTTGAAGTTGCATAAAGAACGTAGGTGGTGCTTCTCTCTTGCTACGATGAGATCATGACTTCATCTAACAAGCAAATGTTGTCCAGGCTACGTTGGTGATACAGTTTTTTTTAATGTGTATGATACTTTTGTCATGCGATTTTAAAGCTGGTCCTACAAGCGCATCCAAGAATAACATGCAGCTTATCTCAGAACTGTCGGTGAAAATTATTCTTGGAGCTAGGTTTAATTGAGCTGCATTTTATAGAGGTGCAATTTCACAATTTGTGTATATTTTCTAAGTTCACTATTTTGTCATGTGTTGAGAAAAACACAGATTTTAAAATTACATGGTCTAATATTTACATTTAGCATAACTGCAACATGCTTTTTTCATTATTTTTTTTTTAAAGACTCGAAAGGACTTGAAATTCAAAGTTTCAGACTTGTTACTTTACTCGGACTTTTACACCAGTGACTTGAGACTCGACTCTGACTTGCCTGACATTACTTGAGACTTGACTTGTGACTTGAGGATAAAGACTTGAGACTTGCAAAACAATGACTTGGTCCCACCTCTGGTATTTAGAATCAAAGCCTGTTGGTCTGACTGTGACTGTTGTTTATTACTGTTGGTGTGAAGTGCAGGCATGAAGCTGTAACAAAGTCAACATCACAACACTTTTTCAAACTTTATTGTCAGACTACACAAAGCTTCCACATGATGACGTGTTTATGACATTCACTCCAAATTATATACAAATCAAAGGTGCCGAGCCGTTTCCAAATACACAACCTGCTCCTTAAACACAAGTCATCACGAAGCCTGCAACAAGCGTGCAAATCATCCGAAAGCAAAACACGTTCCCTGATGCAGAGTTAAGGTGCTGGAACAGAGACCAGGAGAGGAAACGGAGACAGGACGAGGGAGTGACGTCAAACCCAAAAACCCCGCTGAGCTCATTTTCACCCATTTTGTGGTGGAAAGTTCCAGACTCTTTGACTTTCAGTGCCAGTCCTCTGTGAACTGCCTGAAAACCATTATGGAGGTGTGTTACAGCCCAGTTTAGCAGATGGGAAGAGCTGTGGAAAAATCCCAGTGTGTCAGAGCGCTGCACGCTGGAAATGTGAGCTGCTCTGTTTGCGTTTGCCACAGCAGATGGCGTTCACAGACAGACTTCTGCCTGTTGCATAACTACAAGTGTTTGTGCTCAGGAAGAGCAGGAGGAGCCTGACAGTCACCGAGGAGGGCAAACTCACCCAGCGGTTCTCCTTGTTCCTGACTGGGTAAACTTGAAAACACAGACTGTATATAAAGATGGACAGCATGGCAATCGCCCTCTGGTGGCAGGTTGGGGCAAAAGTTATAAACCCCGCCCCCTCCAAATCAAAGTGATCTTAAACATTTTCTTCTCATGAGCAGTGCTTCTTAAATTTAGGTTTTCACCACTAACCAGGTGACGTCAGCTGTTGGACAGGCCTAGAGACCGGACAGGTCGGCCCGGAAAAACAAGGATTCACCAGCTGGATGGAGAAGCACTAAACCTCCCTGTGACCGCTTCCAGCAACCAGGTGGAGAATTCACATTTTTCCTTAACAATCGGAGGTTTCCGTGCAGTCGCTGACTGTCTGATAAATGCTAAGTGTAAATGATGTAAGCATGAAAATCAAGTGCAGAGACCCTCTGATGAAGTCAGACACTCACAGGCTGAGCATCTTTCATGTTACATGGAGAAAAATCAAGCGGACCGTGTGTCACTGCTGCTGGGTTTGTTTGCTGATGGGGCGTGCAGCCCTGACCCCTCCCTGACTTCACACCACATGATCTATAATTATGTCATAAAAGCTGCTCATATGAGACCAGATCCCAAAGCCTGCAAGACTCTGGGTGCTTATCAGAGTCTGCTGTCAGGACGGCTAACCACGAGTCA